GTCTCTATAGCGCCTTTCTCTATCAGTTTGAGCATCTCGGTGCGTAGAACATGTGAAACATCTTTTCTCACTTTCGTCTCGACCACTGCTGTGAAGCGGGGCGGTCTGCGAGCGAATTGAAGCGAGTAACCGTGTTTTATTATGTTCAAAAACCCATTTCGGCATGTCGGGGATATTTTCCCAAGCTTTCGCTCGCACAGATATGGGCTGAATGCTGGCTGGGGGCGTGTCGCAGTGACGTATGGCTCCCGCCAGCGAATCGCCCTGTGCTAATACCGAGCTTACAGCTCTCAGCGGCGCGGGCGCGCGCTGAGCAGCTTTGTTGAATGCTGAGTGCAGGGGTGCGTGTGAGATTACAGGCACGCTCGCCGTAATGCTCACAGAGTGAGATGGGGAAATGTTTAACACTGTATGGGCAGTGCTTATGGGTGGGGGTGCATAGACTGTGGTAGGCACGCGCGCCACTTTCATAAAACTTCCCGCTCGTGGCGGGAGGTTTTTGGTCATATAAACAGTGTTTGTGAGTTGGGGTGCGTGCATAACAGCGGGCACACGCGCTACTCTTATAAAACTTCCCGCTTTTACTGGGGAACTGTGTTTATAACTGTGGGAACAGTGCTTATGTGTAGTGGTGCATATGTGACAGTTGGCACACAATCTACATTTATGGGGCGTCCAGCTTGAGTTGGGAAAACATTTGGCACTGCGTTGACAGTTTTGATATGTGGGAATGCGCACTTTGGTGTGGACACGTGACTCTTTAATGACACAGGCAGAAAATGGCTCTTTATGTGATTTCTGTGTGTCGCCGTAAAAACGGCGTTTGTTTGCAGGTGGGCGAGCTGTGTGGCTGGCACATTGGCTGCTGTATAGACATTTCCAGCCGCCTGTAAGGGGACTGGGTAATGTTTTAAACGTTTTGGAGAGAACGGTCCGGCTCTTGCGAGACACGCGCTCTCCCTTTTTCTCCCTGTAGCTAGGAGGACTTACGAGGCTCTGGGTTCAGCACAATCTTGGGCCGAGGTCCCCGTCGCTCGGGCGGTTGCTTCCTGTTGGCAGAGCGCGAGCGGCGTCGAAAATCCGTTTCAGGTCTGGGCTGAGAGACGGGAGGCGCCGTCTTAGCTCACTGCTGCTGAGGCGGCCTTTGGCGGCTCTGGGATGAGCCAGATCGCTTGGGCAGGAAGTGACGCATAGCCTGCGAGTCCTTACGGGCTTCGGTGAAGCGCTCGGCGAACTCCTTCACCGCTGGTCCAAACAGGCCGCTTTGCGTCGAGAAATGACGCCTTATCTGCATCCTTCATCTCTGTTAGCGTCAGCCACAGATGGCGCTCAAGGACAGTCAGGTTAGCCATAGCACGGCCGATGGATTGGGCGGTGGCTTTTGTAGCTCGCAGCGCTACGTCAGTGGCGCTGCGCAGGTCCTTGAATGCCTCAGGATCGGGTCCAGACTCGTCCATACTGCGGAGAAGTTTAGCTTGAAACACCTGGAGGACAGCCATAGAGTGAAGCGCTGATGCAGCTTGGCCGGCGGCGGCGTATGCGCGACCGGCGAGAGCTGAAGTAGACCGGCAAGGCTTCGAGGGATGAGAAGCTTTAGCTTTCCATCCAGCGTTGGAGGGTGGACACAGATGATTGGCCACAGCCTCCTCGAGGGGCGGAGTCCCCTCATAGCCTCTTTCTTTCGCGCCGTCCACAGAGGAGAGCGACAAAGAAAAAGAAGGCTTCAGGCGAGCGGAGTGCGGGGCTTTCCACGACTTCGTGAGTTCGTCGTGAACTTCCGGGAAGAAGGGGGAGGGCCTTTGTCGAGGGGCCTGTCGGCGCCCCTGCAGGAACCACTCGTCCAGTCGGCTGCGGGCGGGTTCTTCCGAGGAAGACCAATCGAGCCCGAGGTCTTCCACGGCCTTAGACAGGATGCGGACGATCTCCGAGTCCATGCTGGAGCCCGCGCTCGTGCCCGCTAATGTCGATGGCGCGGGGTCGAACGACGAACCCGGCCAGTCGTCGGATGCAGCATCACAGAAAAAAAAACTGTCATCCTTGTCATCGTCATCCCCTGACGCGCCAAACAAGACGAGCCCCATCGCTCTGCTGGAGGGGTGCTGGTCCGCCTGTGTGAACTGGACTGGCGGCGGGGACTCTTCGGGTGGTGGTGAAGCACGCGGGGATTGGCCCGGCGTGACATCACTGCAAACCGCGTGCTCCGGCGGCCTCTGTGAGCGGCGCCTTTTCTTGCGCGGCTCGACCAGAGGAGATGGCAGCACGGAGGAGGTGGGCTCTTTCACGGTGAAAACGGCGAAGCGAGCGCGCAGCTCGGTGAGGCCCAGGGCGTCACACTCGGGACATCCGCCTCGAGTAAGGGCAGCCTCTGCGTGGTCCGGTCCCAAGCAGCGGGCGCAAATGATGTGACGATCCCCGTCCTGAAGAGGGCCTCGACACGAGGCGCAGGAAGGCATTTGAAACAACGCCTTGTTAATTTGCTCTTTTAGAAAAGTGTCGCGGGGGCGAACACTGAAAGCTTTGAAAAGGATATAAGATGATGCGCGCCGGATGGCTTAGCAGAAAGGCGATCGAAGGGGGCTGAAGGCGCCGGCGTCCTCGAAGCAGTCCTGCTGTAGGCTTGTCGACGGCGGCGGCGAAAAGACTCCAAGAAATCCGGAGGATCCAGCGAAGAGAAGGTTCTTTGCTGAAGGAGATTAAATCTAAAGAACTCAGACGACGGGGCGCCCAATATATAGCCCTTGGCCACGCCCATCTTGGCGGGCTCTGACGCGCGTGGGCGCGAAGCACGCTCATTGGAAGCGGGTTCAGAGTCGCCCCGTCATAGGTTCGTGCAGTTGCCGCAGCACAGCCAATGACCGAGCTGCCTCGCTCATTGCTGTATGCTGTGCAGCTGCAATGCGTTTTACATAAAGACTTCAATATTTCTCGAGAAAAGGAGTTTTCCCATAGCGTAAGCTATTACGCAATAGGAGAAACCTCTCGAAAGGGAACTACTATTAGACCTAGACCTACCTGAAAAACTCTAAAAACTGTTTATTTCATTTATAGCCTTTGTTCTATTGTATTAATTTGAACCATTTGTAATTTGATTATTTGTTATTATATTATAGTCTTTAATTGTCCTTAATAATGTTTAAATTTACATTAGTTAGGCTAGTAGTTTTTCAGTAGTATCAAAATTGAAAATTTTGAAAACAGTGAAATAAACTTGAAACTTAAAAAAGTTGAAAATTGAAAACTTAAAAATATCACAATTTCAAATTGTGATATTTCACTGTTATCTAAACATTTGAACAGCTCTAAATGTGTGCTGTGCAAATGAAAGAAAAAATATCATAGAGCAAAAGAATGAACAGTGAAAGTAACAAAAGCTCATACAATACATTTGAGGAGGATTAAGTAAGCATGAAAATAACTGAAGGATATATATATTAAGCCAATTAATAATATTTATAATCTTTTGTTTTCTCTACTCAATACATTTTAAAATTACAAATGCATCCAAAAAACAGGTATTGTATTGCCAAGTACCAAAAATGAAAGTATTGGTATCAGACTCGTTCTGGAAAAAGTGGTCTCAGTGCATCCCTATATATATATATATGAGAGCAGTTTTAAAGATATTTATGTTTTTCAATTTCCAAAAAGTCATTACAAATAAAGTTTCTATAGGTTTTAGAAACCTATCCTTAAGCAGAGCATGTGTTCTCTGCTTGTGCCTTTGATCATTTAAGCCAAGCAGGCCTTCCATAATGCAATTGATTGATCTCCCCTTTGCAAAAGCACCCGGAAAATCAGAATGATTGAACTTGTCTATTTTGACATAGGCCTAGATCTTTTTCGGTTTGAGGAGACCCATGCTTCAATTGCTTTTAAGGCTCCCCTGGGTACCGCCATCTGCTCTTTTAGCTAGGCCTATCTTTGAAAGTCAGTATCTGTTCACATAAAAGTGATTTAGTAGATATGCTGTAAGAAGTGGTCAAAAATGTTTTCAAATTGTATTCAGAAAGATGCTAGTAAGAGATATTTGATCATGTCAAGTAACACCCACTTGAAATTATTTTAAGAACCTGCCCTATTTATTCCAGACTGTGGATAATCATGGAATCTTGAGGAAATTATGCATGATACTATATCAAATGCTAAATATTAGTTAATGATCAAAAGCTCATAGAGCGGACACTCTCAAATATGAAATTTACCTTATTTAAATGACTATCAATATCTGATTAGCAAATATGTTACATATTCCAGAAACATTGATAAATACATCAAGCCATGAAGTACAGCATCATTTCAATAAATATCACATCGGCTCTTAAAAAATTAGGCAAAACATCTTTTTATTTCCTGATACAGACCATTTTGTAAATGTGACGAGATTAGTGTAATGAACATGATGTCGAGAGCGTGGAGAGCCTCTTAAGGCTGGCAAACCATCCAGTGCAGCCTGATTAGTCACAAAAATAAGCAAAACATATTGGATACCAAAAATACTACAAAAACCCTCAGAACACCAAAGCCTGTAAGAGGCATTATGGGTATTGAGTTGTTACCGGTTGCAGGCTAGATCAAAGCTTACGAGCATAAAGGTAGTAATTACAGCTTCACAAAATCCCTGACCTTATGCTGCTGAATCAGGATGATACATCTCCAAACTAGGAGGAATACAGAACTCAGAACAGAGAATCTGGGTGCAGTAACAAACACTCTAGCCACAAATGATCTTAGATCTTGTGATACAAATTTGGCTACACAAAAAAAAAAATGTGTGCAGTATTGGTTTCCCTTCTTTTTCGTTTTTCGCTTGGGGGTTAAAAAGATGTCCGAAATACCTTGCAGTGAGCAGTGTTTAGATATGTTAAAATGTGCTGCGCGCTTACCTCACGATAGCAAAATAAACACACAACAAAAATGACAACGGTGAGAAAACAGCAGTAAAGGAAGCGTTCATAGCGAAGTGGTTATGTTTGCACCAGGTCAACAATTCGGCACTCCAATCAAGTTACTTCATGTCACGTTTATTTGTAGTTTATACAATAGACTGCTTTAAAGCAAGCAGCTTAACAGTATTACAAAAACAGTGTCAGTGCTTTTAACTAGTAGTAGAACTTCAATTTATACTATAAAACAGCTTTTCAAAGTGTTGTGTTCCTATCTGACCTTGACGGACAGAACAGAGGAAATGAACCAGAGAAGATTTCCATGTCAAAGAAGGCGGAACATCCGCACACGACTAGGCTACCTATTACGAAATCACCTCAGACCAATGGTAGTTTGAAGGTGTTTACCAGCCAGAGCAAACTCTTCTGTAGTGTTCTCTTTGGCAAAAAGGTTTTGAACTCCAAAAAACTAATTTCATTTTGACCTGATTTTGGTCACCACATTTAACCTATTAAGGTGTGATTACATTAGCCAAATTTCAGTGACATTTTAATTTCGTCACTATTGTCAATAGTGAACCAATTTCTTTTTTGTGTCAAACCCAAAGTCACATGGGTTTGGAACAACATAAAGGTGAGTAAATGATGGCAATTTTCCTTTTTGAGTGAGCTATCACTTTAAGTATTACATGCCCTCCTTATGCATTAAAGCCACATGATTTTGTGTATCGGACTATTTTTCTTAAAGCTAATGTCGTAGCTTCTCTATCTGATGATCTCGTTCACATCTGCAAAGCTGACTGAGAGAAGAGCAGCAGGGCTGGAGCCAGGGTTTCCATACTATTTGCAGAGGGGAAAGCTGTATTGGGACGGGCTTTAGACTCTGTGTATGACGGCTTACTGCTGCCCTTATGACCTTTAGAACTGAGTAGAACTGGGGCTCCGTGTCTGGACTCAGGGGGGTGCTTTCTGATGGGTCTCTCGACAGGTCATAAAGCAGTGGAGGGTCATGGAATGTGATAAAAGGCTTGATGCAGAAGCAGATATGAGTGTGGAAGCACGCAGAGCTGTTCTGTGGGTAGAAGTCAGGTGTAAAGAAAAAGGCCTTCCAGATTTCACTACCTGGAAACACAGGAAATCTAGTTTTCAAATGCGAAGATTCATCATCTCCTTTATCAATCCATTTCTCAATTTACAGTAAAATATCTCGAAAGGTAAAAATGGTTATTTTTACACAGAAACAGTAACACATTATGGTCATAGAAAAGACGTGAAAAAGAAAGGACACTCTTTAGAATTTTATGGTTTTACATATCAGAACATGCTAAAAAACATGTCTTAAAATTAGGTAAATACAACCTCAGATGAACAACAACAAATGACATATTACACTGTCATTATTTATTTAACAAAAATAAAGCCAAAATGAAAAAGCTTTGGGTGACAAACTAAGTACACCCTATGATTCAATTGCTTGTAGAGCCACTTTTAGCAGCAATAAGTTGAAGGACTCTTTTTCTGTATGACAGTATAAGTCTCTCGCATCGTTCTTGAGGAATTTTGGCCCGCTCTTTTTTAGAAAAAAGTTACATGTGAAGGCCAAGTATGGTAACCCATACTCAGAATTTGTTCTCTGCATTTAACCCATAACAGTTAGTGCACACATATAAGGAGTAGTGAACACACACACACACACTGCAAACTGTGGACACAGACCAGGTGGGCAGCCATTTTGCTGTGGTGCCCAGGGAGCGATTGGGAGTCAGGGTCCTTGCTCAAGGGCACCTCAGTCATTCCCTGTCGGTATTGAGAATTGAACCCGCAACCTTTGGGATACCAGTCTGACTGGTAAGAAAAGGAAAAAAAGCCCACAAACCTTAATGAACTGAGGCAAAATTGCTGTGGTTTGTGGGCTTTTTTTCCCTTTCTTTTTTTTTTCACAATATTTTTTTTCTTCAATATTTCAGTCAGGTTGAGGTCTGGACTTTCACTGGGTCATTGCAACAACTTGATTATTTTCTTTTTCAGCCATTCTGTTGTATATTTGCTGGTGTGCTTGGGATCATTGTCCTGTTGCATGACCCAATATCAGCCAAGCTTTAGCTGTCGGACAGATGGTCTCACATTTGACTCTAGAATACTTTGGTATACAGAGAAGTTCATGGTCCACTAAATGACTGCAAGGTGCCCAGGTCCTGTGGCTGCAAAACAAGCCAAAAATCATCAACCATCCACCAGTGTGATGGACAGTCTGTATGAGCTGTTTGTGCTGATATGCTGTGTTTAGTTTTCACCTAACTTGGCTCTGTGCATTATGGCCAAACATCTCCACTTTGGTCTCATCTGTTCAAAGGACATTGTTCCAGAAGTCTTGTGGTTTGTTCAGATGCAACTTTGCAAACCTAAGCCGTGATGCCATGTTCTTTTTAGAGAGAAGAAGCTTTCTCCTGGCAACCCTTCCAAACAAGCCATACCTGTTCAGTCTTTTTCTAATTGTACTGTCATGAACTTTAACATTTAACATGTTAACTGAGGCCTGTAGAGTCTGAGGTGTAGTTCTTGGGTGTTTCGCGATTTATCTGAGGATTGCACTGGGCATTGTGCACTGGGCACTGAGCATTGCACTGTCTGACATTTGCTGGGATGTCCACTCCTGGGAATATTGGCAACTGGTTTGAATGTTTTCCACTAGTGAATAATCTTCATTACTGTAGAATAATTGGACTTATTTAACCCTTCTCAGATTGATGGCAGCAACAATTGCTTCTCTAAGATCATTGCTGGTGTCCTCCTTGGCATTGTGTTAACACACACCTTAATGCTCCAGACCAGCAAACTGCCAAAACTGCTGCTTTTATAGAGATGATCACACTTGCTGATGATCAATTAATCTAGGGCTGTACTGTCCCAGTCGATTAGTCGATTAATTGGTCGATACGTTCTGGTTCGACCAAAATTCTGATTGGTCGATTTTTTGCCGCGTTCATTTCATCAGTTTTGCCGCGCTCATTTCATCAGGTGGAAAGCACTAACTGCTAATGGGGGTGTTTTCAGAGTACCCCTGTTTCACAGGTAACAGTCTGTCTTCAGAACACCCCCCTTATTTTCACTTTTCTTTGGATTAGCCCAACCCACTGGAGAGGAGAGACAGATAAGTATAGAGGGTTTGATGCTGAATATTATTTATTTAATTGTGAGAGTGTTTAATAGTCAACAAAGACATAGACAGTGTGGCAGCATTTTGTTAAAATTGATAACGGGAAAAAGGTCGAATGCAAAGTTTGCAAGCAACAGTTTTGCCTTCCACAGCTCGACGACAAAAATGACATATCTAAAGGCAGTAAGCTAACTTGTCTGCGTTAGGTTTCCCTGTCTGTCTGTTTTGAGTAACGTTAGGCTATATGAACATATCAGAATTGGCATATCAGTTATGCACTTTATTTCGTTTCTGCTCTTGATCTGGTTTGTTTAATAAATATTCTTTTTTTATTAAAGTGGACGTGCCTTTTGTGTTTATTAAGAGTAAAAGCTTTAAGTTAATAGTTTATTCGTGTCTCAGCCGCAAAGCTGAGCTCCTATGTTCAGCCTCGCTCTGTGCGAGGACATGCACAGAGCAGCTGAAATGATAGTGTCTGACAGTTATAACTTATTATATTCGACCATTTTATTTTATCTTATTTTAGTCGAAAATTTCAGGACTTCAGTCGACCAAGATTTTCTTTGGTTGAGTACAGCCCTAAATTAATCAAAGACATTTCATTAGCAGCGCCTTTTCTACTAACCCTCTTAATTCCTATGAAGCAGTAAGGGTGAAGTTAGTTGCTTTTCCATTTTGGCCTAGTTTTTGTTAAATAAATAATGACATGGTGTAATATGTCATGTGTTGTTGTTCATCTGAGGTTGTAATATGTCATGTGTTGTTGTTCATCTGAGGTTGTAATTATCTAATTTTAAGACCTGCCAAGGACCATGATTTTTTATTATGCCCTGATTCATAAAACCATATAATTCAATAGGGTGTACTTTCTTTTTCACATGACTATATATATATATATTTTATCAAGAGTATAGCATTGACAACTCGTGAGCTTAGAATTATAAGGTTCTATCTCCACTTTTGGTCGAAATTGAGTTTTTGACATAATCGTATCCATTAGGTGTTTATTAATGCCTGTGTGGTGTTATTTTTGTAACAAAAAATATTTTGTTAGTAGTTATTAATAAAATAAAAAGGTTCCATCTCACAAAACAGCAGGAATGTAAAAACTGTGATGCTCAATATCTCAGAACTACCCTAAACGGAGATAGAACTGTATACATTTAGCGCAGATATAATTTCATTGCCTAATGCCTACTGAGCTTTATGCACCATCGCTTGGCTGAGAGCGCCCTGTCGCTTTCTCTCACACACACTCACTGTGAGAAAAAGACAGAGCACATGCAAAGCTCGTTGACTGAACTGTCACTATCCTGATCGGACCAGTGCTGAGTCGTCACGAAAGTTTATCATTTGCATGCGTTTTTAAGCCTTGCCAATTTAAACATCAAAGCACACAAAGTACTATCTTGAATCACCTGAAGAGCAACTGAGCAAAAGTTGTACTTTACAACTAACAAACTAAAAGTAATTATTTAGATGATCAAAAGAGTTATTAGTTACTTCTTGAGAGTGTAGAAAGATGGGTGCATTGAAATTAGGACTCACTGTTAGGAGGGTGCCATCGGACAGCATTCAGTTCGGCATTGCAGTAATGAAACATAAATTCATGTTCAGAACGCTCCACTTGCCCTTGCAGCAGAGGCAAGAGATCATGGCCATCAATGACTCTGTAATGGAAACAAGTTGTAATGCACTGCAACTACTAGCCTATTTAGTGAGTCTATTTAGCAGTTTGGGTGGCCAAAACACAAAGCATCATTATTCTATACTAATTAGCTCATTTGGGCATATGTTCATCTTATTAAGTGACTGAAAACACAATCTAATCTATTGATTTCTGTATATCCAAATATTTCAATGTATCTCCTGATTATTAGCATCTATTATAGACCTTATGCACCAGAGAAACAAGGGTGCAGCCATCTTTAGAATATTGTCTTTGAACTTCCGTTTTTGTGGTCGCTCTGTATATTTCTATGGCATCGCTGTCCAGGAGTAATTCGCTTTTGAAGTGGATTTACTTAATGTAAAGTTAACGAAAGTTATCATAGGATTGTAATGTTTAAGGCAGATGACTTAACAAATGTGAGTCGACCGAGAAGATTTTAAAACGAGCAGTTCATTCATACGCAAGATCGCTGTGAAAGTACAGACCGGAAGACAAAAGACAACGAGTGCAGTGCTGAAAAGGGGCGGGGCTACATAAGGTATATATCTGCATCTAGTATCTGTTGTCTCAGTAACCAAATTCTTGACAGATACAGATTCTCACCTGTCACTAGGTATGGAAGCACCAGCTAAATTCAGCACCGTGGGGAAAATATCCATGTTGCTAGTGGGCTCATCAATGACCTTCCCAGCAGGCAAGACACCTGGCCAACGAAGAATCCCCGGTATCCGAATCCCACCTTCCCAATTGGTAGACTTACCAGCTGCTCCAGTGAGGGTATGGAGAAACAGAGGGAGTGAAATCGCAGTTACTGTTCAACTTTTAAACAGAAAATAATGCTGAAAGGTGATGCTTTGTTCACAAGGGTTGATAAACTGGCCCTCAGGACTATTCTATGGGACAGAATACCTTTGTATATGCTGCTATAACCCCCGTGCATCTCTCCGTGAATAGAAATCTCTTCCAGGTGAGGCCCCTGATCTGAAGTCATGTACACCAGAGTGTTTTGCTTCAAGTTTAAGCGCTCCAGAGTCTGCATGATTTGACCTAAGAACAGCAACAGCGTAGTGAGAAGTCAGACCGGCAATAAGATCAATATAAAAATACTAAAATCAACCTGGTGCAACATTTAGCTTATCTACTTATCTTAACTACTTAAAAAGCTAAATTTTCCAGTGCAATGCAGTACTGAATTGATTTCTCAAACATTGTCACTTGGGGTTTGTTTAAACCCATAACACTAAAGTATAAACAGACTTCAAATCATTTACATGTAGCACACACTTTTATTTAACCAATTTACAATTGAGACCACAGTTTTACAATTTTTTGTGTGTTTTTGGGTTTATAGTAAGTGCTCTGATTACACTTTATGTGATTTAAGTTTAAGTGATGCTCCGCCCTGGACGCCTGCGCCCTGGAGGCCTGCCATGCCTGCTCCGCCCCAGCCGCCTACTCAGCCTGCCCCGCCTCAGTCTCCAGGCCCTCTTCTGCTCCACGGGCCTGGCCCTCCATCCCGCCCCCGCTCAACCTCCCTCATGGACAATTTAAGGAGCGTCTAGAAGCCGCTCCAATGAGGGGGGGGCTATGTAACGGTCACCAACTGGAGTGCCCTTGAGAGCCACCAGAGGGCACTCCACATCAGGCTATTGTCATTCCCTCACAAACTACATCTCCCATAACTCACTGCCTGGACTCTTCATCCATTATCACATTCACCTGTGTCTCATCTTGTTTAGCTCACCCCATATAAGCCTGGTTTTCTCGTTCATTATCTGCGAAGTCTTGTTTAGTGTTACACTGCAATTCCGAGCATTCTCCCTGGTTTCATGTCTCTTGGTTTTTGGATTTCTTGCCTGTTCCGTGGATTACTCTTTTGCCCGTGTTCCCTGCCTTGTTGTGTTTGTTATTGTTTGGACTGATTACCCGGTGTTTATGACCTTTGCCTGTTTTCGACTGTGATTGTGGATTACCGTTTCAATAAAACTGCATTTGGATCCTCAACCCTCGTGTCTCGGAGCAGTTTGTGACAGCCATGGAAACTAGAATAAACCTTATTTAATCAATTTAATAACAAATTAAAAAAAAGAATTTATACATGTGTATGATACGTTGGACCAGCGCGGTTTGGAAAATGGATGGATGATTCAGCTGTGGCGCCATCTTCTGGCGAGACGAAGGAATTCATTCAGTGCGTGACTCTCATAGTGCATTATGAGTATTCTCTAGCCGTTGAGCGTACATCGGTTGTACACTCGTTATTGCCATGCATTGTGGGATTGAATGAGTGCACTCAATAACGTCCACTATGGTTTCGAACACCACTACAAATGGCTGTCCCCTCAAATAGTGCCCTATTTAAGGGTATAGGGGGCGATTTCAGACACAGCCCTAGACACATGTGCCTTAAAGTTTAAGGCACGTGTCTAGGGCTGTGAGAGATACTCCACCCAGAAAATGAAAATTCTCTCATTATTTACTCATCCTCATTCCATCCCATGTGTATATGACTTTCTTTCCTCTGAAGAACACAAATGAAGATTTTGAAAAAAAAACAATCCATTTCTATGAACCCATATTATGCAAGTTGTGCTTCAAACCACAAAAATAAACATGACAGGAACTTAATTTGATTAATCAATGTCTTGAATCCAAATGATAGGAGCATGTGTAAGAAAATACAAACTTTTAACGATAAACCTTAATTTCCGGTCAACTGTCATACACGGCTGTCATGACAGGGCCGTGAAGCATTACGTCAGCATGTTGTGAAATATGATGAAAGTGCATTCTAAAAAAGAAAGTGACGCAAAACCACAGAGGATTGTCACATCTCACGTAAGTTTAGCAACATACTGATGTGTATGTCAAGTGTGAATTCGTATGAACCCATGTATGACACTTGGCAAAGCAATACTTTATATTTAAAATATTTTTTTCTTACACACCTTAAGTTTTGCTTCAGTAGACATTGATTCATCACCTGGGGTAGTAAGGATTCCCCGTTCAATTTACATACATTTGCATTATATAGATTCACAGAGATGGATTACCCATATATATCTGAGTCAGCGTGAGGGAAAATGATATGTAAAAGTTGAGAAATTTTAATTGTGGGTATGAATCCCTTTTATATGGAGTTGGCCCCATTTAACAGATTCCTTACAGGAATTAAATTTCTGTCATTATTTATTTTACTCATCCTCTGGTCATTTATGTATGACTTCATTCTGTGGAACATAAAAGAAGAAATGTCTTTCTTTGTTTTCAAGTAAGTGGTCAGCTAAACTGTTAGGTTACTGTAACAACATTCTTCAAAATATCATACAACCATATAGTCATTCAGGTTTGAAACAACATTAGGGTGAGTAAATGATGACAGTTCATTTTTGGGTGAACTATCCCTTTAATTTTACAGCATGTTAGGGATGTTAAAGGGATAGTTCAGCCAGGTTTGGAATGGAATGAGGGTGAATTTTCATTATTCGGTGACCTATCCCTATTAAGATAACAGTCTGACGGAACTATTGAGAGGGTCTTGTATAGGCTATGGGGTGCACAAATTCAAGCATGGTAGTCAAGGAGGTGTCCACATACTTTTGTCGAACTTGCTTTTAAACTTATCAATTTATCTTTAGAATATTTATGTGACAAGGCAAAGTCAAAAGTCATTCAGTACCTACACTCCAGTCTATCTCCATGACAGCGTCACCATAGAGGCCATGCTGGCTCTTCCCCCTGAAGAGAGGAGAGGCAAAAAGTCCAGTGTGGACTTGAATGAATGAGAAGAAGAGCAAGAAAGGACTCTGTGAATTCCTGTGGGAAAACAAACAAACAAACAAACAGAAAACCCTTAATGTTCCATCTTGCATTACCATTGGACAAACACAAAGCACATAATTTCAGGGTTGTATTATCCCATCAGATCAGGGATCAGAGCCTGGCTGAAAGGGATTTGCTTCCATGTGAGGTTTCATAAGGCTTTGTTGATGACATGTCTTACAGCGCCTTACAATGCACACAATAGTGCAAGGAGAGAATTTAAACTTGATCATTACTATAAGAATCTATAATTGGTTTTACAGATAAAAAACACAATTTCCCAATAAACTGATTCTCTGATACAGCTAAGAATTAAGGCAGAGAGATACTGCATTTAAATCAGAGACGACAAATAAGAAACACCATGTCAGGCGTCTGTGTTTTTATTATTATTAACAATTCAAAATAAGTATAATATATTTTTTTATAATAGGCTTCTAATATGTATTATAAGTAAAATATCATTTAAATAAATGTAAGTATAATAAAAATAGAATTACTATTTTAAAAAATAAGTTGAAATAGAATGACAAAATGATGACTGTAACAAACGCATAGACTACGATTAACAGCCTCGGACAGTAACTGGTCTGCTTACAGTAGGTATGTCTATAACAGTTTATACGTTTTCGTTAAAAATAAATGTCCCTATGGAGAAAATAAAATTATGTTATGACCTTATGACCTTTTTTTCACTTGATTCAGTATAGTTAGTCTTGTATCAAACACAATATATTTTTTGTTGATTGAGATCTGGCAGCAGCAGCAGATTTATCCTCTTGTTCGAGCCAGAGCCATATAGAGATACATATATTTATGAGAAGCAAACTGACAAAGACCTACGATGTCTCAGAGAAATGTATCAATTTAATGAGCTTTGCTTAACTACCCAAAACTATCTGCCAATAGAGTCAGAAAAAATTAACTGAAAGTTAATACCCCAAATACTAAGGCTATATACACATACAAATACTAAGTGTATGATGGGCACAGACATTTTATTTTTTAGGTTCAGACTGATTCCATTCAGACAGAGAATTTCAAAAGTGTTTGATATTTTGAGATGATTTTAGAACACATTCTGTTTTCTTTTGTCATGCGTATCCTAGCAACAAGGAGCATGTTTCTGTGTGAGTTTGTGTTCGAAACTACTTAAAATTCTGGACATGTGTAATCCTCAATCATTTAGTGCAGTTTTAAGCCCAGTTTTTCTCTATAACCATTTTTGAAGTCAGCAAGTGTATGAATCCATAGTGTTTTCAAATCTGCTCTGAATTTAGTTGTGCAATGTACTTCTACATTTTGGCCTCAATCATTGTAGTTGCAAGAGCGACCTGGCACAGAGAAAATAGTGTAATACAGTTTTGGAATGAAAATGAGCGCATCATGACAGAATTTCATTTTTTTGGGTGACATCTACCTTTAAATTCAGAGAGGGTTAATCAAATTAATAATGCAAAAGCTTAAGCAAGACCTTCAATTTCAATACAGACCTTTCAAACTGGATTGGATATTTCCCTTGATATTAGTTCAGTCACTGCATTTGTAAGCTCAAACTGGGTACCTAAAAAAGCTTTTAGCACTTTAACATAAAAAGTAGACACATACCTTTCCAGATACTCTATGGCTTCACTGGTCATCCTTTGAGTGAGGTTCTCTGATGTATATGGTTGCTCAACAATCTCCGCCCCTCGCATGACAAAGCAATTTAGATTGGGGAATGTATACAACAACACACCAAAGAGACTCACAAACACCCCTACCAGAACCAGAAACACAAAAACTACTTTCCTGGTCACAGTTATTGTCCCTCTAATATGGAGTAACACCAGGGAAACCAGACCAATACCAAGGGCCTTGTATGGGATGTGACCTTGTACGTGATGTAAGACAGAGCCATGTCCAGGCTGGCAGTCCCGAAGATGCGTCATAATGGTGCCGTAGAAGTAGTCAAAGCCATGAGAGTTAGGATGGTGGCAGTGGTCGGCACTGTCTTCACAGTTGAGACCCAGGTGCCATTTCCCTAAAAAAAGATACATTAAAGCAAATAAAAACACAGCAGCAGATGGTTGTCAGTTATGTATTTAAATCCTTAATACGGTTATGTCCACACACATTTCAGTTATTTATGGGAGTGACAACAACATTCTTTAAAGGGTAACTAAACCCTAAACCAACTTTTTTTAGTTAATGATCTGTAAGAATGGGGCCTTATTAGTGCTGTTCATTGATTCGAGTAACTTTTTTGATATTTGGGTATAAAGTGTTTTAATTCTACAATATATGGTGTAAAAACGTCTGAGTGCTGCCCTCTTTAGGTTGAACGGTGGCTACTGCAGTTGAATTTTCCTATTGGATGTTTGCAGTGGTACGTGACATAAGCAGCACTGACTTAAAATTATTCCTGCTTACTAAAAATTAAGTATATGTGAATTGTGTACTTAAAATATAGCTCTTTCTGATTGTGTTTTACAGATAGATCAGTATAAGTATTTGATTAGTTAGCAAGAACATGTTCAGGAAATGCATAGGCTAATATAAATTGTATGGGTAAAATGCACGCCTGTTTCACCTCTTATTTACACTGCACACGTCTGCGGCGCGTTACAGCTGCGACACGGCTACCGGAGCTGATCGCGCCCACAAATCGGCAAATCACGTGGAGCGGTGCATATACAGCAGTGCAGAGATCGTGCCCAGCGCATGGTTCGTGGTCAAACTGAACACGGATTGACATGAAAATATAGTAAATAAATGCATTTAATTAAAGTAATGCATTGAATAATACGTTTTTTAAGTTTATTGGGTTTAAACTTGAATACGTCTGTGAAAGAATGCATAGTAGGCTATACAATTTTTTTTTTATATAAACATTTATTATTTTATAAAAGACGCTGATAATAAAAATAGTGATTTGAAATAAAAAATAGAGAATAAATGTTGTTTGTGGTACAGACGTAGATCAGTTGCGCACTGCAAACAGCATGTGGAAGCCGGTGGAAGCACAATAGTGCGTGCTGCTCCTGCACCGCATGTAAATGGACTCTGCACGAAACTCTTTTGAAGCTGTCAAATGGGGTCGCTATTGGACACTTAATTGTGATTATTGCTGCTCTGAGGTTCCTTATCGGCTACTGTTGAATGTTTTATCGTTTGTTTTTTGAAGAAGAAGCATTAGGCTACTCTTGCCTCGGAGAAAACAACACGGAAATAGCGACAATTGTGCATATAAATTACGACTTATGGGCTTAAATTACAACCTGTGGGCAGTTTTTCTAGATCCTTTTGTGAACTTCGTTTTACACTTGTATGATGCACAGCGGGTCATCTTAAAAGTGCCGTCGGAGCTACCGATCTCTGTATAACGGCCGTTGGAGCCCTCTGCTGGTAGGGAATCGTAAGATGGCCGCTCGAACACTTCCGGTGGCTTCACTGCCTGGTGGCAGTTTAGAACGTCATGAGCTATCCAGTCATTATATAGATCAGTGGACGTAAGCGGTGGCAGGTGACGTAAGCAGGTTCCAGCTCACCACGCCCTTGGTACGAGATACCACGCCCATGGCAGTATAAAAACCATCTTGTTTCGTCAAAACCACTGTAGCGAGTCAGGAGTTGGAATTGCGAGTATTGAAAACGATCAGGATAGAGTATTTTAGCATCTATTTAGCATAGCATTTATATAGTTATTGCGATTATTTTGTGTAGCCTAGGTAGTTAATTAGCATAGTTGTTAGTGTAGTATTGTTAGAAGCATAGTTAGTTAGTAGCATAGTATTGCATCAGTTAGGATAGCTTCAAGTTAGCGTAGATTTATCTGTATTTAGTACAGTGGTCAGGATGGTACGTAGGTGTAGTGTTGCTGGTTGCAACAGCACTGCTGGACTGCATAGCTTTCCAGCAGACTTAGAAATTAGGCACCAGTGGTTGCATGCACTTGGCCTGGGAGACCGCGAGTTCCCACCTAGAGCTGGAGTGTGCAAACTGCATTTTACGCACGATTGCTTCTTCAACGCAATAGAGGTAGAAATGGGCTTCTCCACACAGCTCGCGCTGAAAAGCGAGACGCAGTGCCAAACGCTGCTCTTCCTGCATGGACTCCACCACCGCAGCGGCGTCATGATGTGAGTGAGCATATATTTTTAATCACAATTTATGTTCCTTCCTCTGTTAACCCTCTGTTATGTTAACCCTCTGGTGTCGACAAACGCGCCGGCGCGTTTTGCTGGATATTTTTTTAGATATTGATATAGATATTTTAGCGAGTCTTTAGTCTGACAGCAGCTGTCAAATAATCCGCCACTGCGGGTCTCAGGTGCACGACCCCCCGCTCAGCCCCGCCCTCGGTTCGTCCCCTCCATCTCTGCTTGGCTTTGCATTTTTCCAGCATTTTTCAAATATTGCCAGTGGGTGGAGTCAGGCTCTGACCAGGGGTTTAGTTACCCTATAATCAAACTCACACCTGTAAATTTTCAGGACGCACCAACCAGACTGGACAACTAGTTGTTTGTCACATCATACAGTCCGAGAGAAATGCTTTGCAATGCACAAACCTGTGTCTACCGTGTGTTGCGGGTTTTAGTGTGCGGTTTCGCTTTTGGTAACTTACAGCGATGGAGATATGAGGGTCATATGAAGGTTTTAGATCCAGTCACTGCTCTCCACCGGAGCTGCTCATGCCAGGTCTACCTACAAGTAACTCAAATGCTCCGCTCTTCACCCAGATATAAAAGCTGCTGTCGGTTAATGAAGATTTGACGGATGAATTCATTCGATTGGACTCTTGTCGTGTCAAAAGTGATGACGTTTCAGTTTTATGGACATTGATATTACGCTACGGTTACTGGTAAGAGAACATGGACTTGACTCCCGTTGCATGTTCATACAGACAGTAGAGACGCTGCTGTAAGTTGTTGTTTGAACGGAACATTATGAGACTCACACCTGTAAGTAAATGGAGTTATCAATCCCAAATACTGGCAGTGTGAGCATAGCCAATATCTCACCGTGGAAAACGTCTGTCATGAGCGACCGCATTGTTCTCAGCAGAGTTGATGAGACTTTTGCCGTTACATCAGTAGCTATGTTTCCATCCTAAGTTGCGAATGTAACATATTTGCAAAATTGTAATATCGCATAAAACATTTGCGAATAAAGCACCGTTTCCATCCAGTGAGTCGAAGAGAACAAAATCGTCACTTCCTGATAAAATGGCAATATCACTAAGAAAAAAAGTAGATGCAGAAGGAGAAGCCACTATATATTATGTTCATAATATATTACTCCTCTGAGCACGCAATTAAACGCAATAAATGCGTAGACTGTAGCGGTCTGTTACAGTTTTAAAAATAATTTAAAAATAAAAGTATATTTTAAAATTATTATTATTCAAATTGTTTGGCTTCCTAAAAACACCAGTGTGACTATAAGGTGGACTGAGATGCTATCACAACTAAAAGAAGTCCAGGCACAACTCAATAAAAATTTTTTTTTTTACTCGTTCAATATGGTCCTCGAAAAGGAGTTAAATTAAATGTAACTATTAATTTTGCTCTCAAAGTGAAACAGATTGATTCATGAACGTACATGTATTCTGACACACCTGCAAAGTATTCATCTCACCAACTTGTTCAAATTTTTTCACACAGACATTTACCTGCAAACAACAAATTTCCCAGGTTTGCCAGAGACAACAGACTCACAAATATCAAACAAAACCTTTTGGTCTCTCTCTCGCCCCTTGGGTGTTACAGGCAGCTTTGAGAAATGTCGATTTTAGAGTGTCTGCTTATTTAGACAATCTGCTTCTCTGAACTCTGTCTCAGAACAGGAAAGGGACAAGTAGATTCCTTCAGGATGTGCCTTAATGGCCTCGACATGGGTTGTTAATCTCTAGGGGTTATTGCAAATGACAGAGTTTCTGCACTGGACAGCTACACAGTATTTGCGTGCCCACCCTCACCTCAACTGTCAGTTGATAGGTTCTTTAGTCCACATTCAAGACCCCTTATTTATAAGAACTGGAATCTAATGAGGGCCAGTTTCACTGAGGAAAGTCAATAAATGAGCACTCATTTGCTGAGAGCCTGAGTTTGAGGGTAGAACAGTGAAGAGCTTACGACCCCCATAATTTCAATGGAGAAATATGACATATCTTGAATTTTACTAGGGGACTGTTGAATGCTTGAATATGCTTGGTTGACAAACATTAAGGTGGTGTGCAATTATTTTCAGGGAAACGCACCTCTAAAGTAGTTCCAGGCAGGTCTTGACAGAATTATATGTCCATATCACTTCTCCAAATGATTTCAGTTATTTCAAAGGTCCTTACAGCCTACAACAGCAAAAGAACCAAAAACCCACAACGACACTGACCAAGCAAATAATAATAGTGAACAACAGGATAAAAAAGACAAATTATTTCCATGTTTTTTTGACACAAACTTACATTTTATTATGTACAGAAAGCACATACTCTCTTTCTCCAGCTCTCTCCCAATAAAACACACACGCATACAGTACAGACAGACACTTGCACAGAAACCTGTTGTTAGTGCTACTCTGATGATTTTATCAGTAAAATTGTTCAGCAGCTTTAACAATGACATATCTCACTACTAGTGCGGTAATCACATCGCTATTCTTGGAACAGACGTTTTGCTAATTCAAGTATATATATATATATATATATATATATATATGTGTGTGTGTGTGTGTCTATTTTACACTCTTGATGGTTTGGAGTTTAACCCTTTCATTGCTGTGTAGTTTTGCCTGCATTACAGGATAAGAAATCTATTAGTCTTTTTCTCTTTTTTGAATGACAAAATGGCATAGAACCAGTTCATTTATAGTTCACTAACAACATAATTGTATATAATTAGTTTAATAATTAGGTTAATAAAAATAGAAAAATAATTTAAAATAAATACATCTGGACTTACAAAATGCTCTGTGTGTTTGTGTGTGTGTGTTATGAGGTCTGCTACCCGACCCGAGCCCGACGGGTCCCAAAAAACTCACGGG